TACCTGCAGATCAGGAAGATGTCACTGCATTTTGGAAAGTGTAGGTATGACAAGCCAACTTAACTTAAGGTGGGTCTTAAAAACATGAGAAAACACTTTGAAATAAAGATAAATTCAAAAGATAAGTACATCCCATATACTTTGGAAAACATGATCGATCTTAGTAAAGTTCAAAATACCTATTTTCATCTTAAATGGTATAGGGCTATCTATATAATAGGATATATGTTTACGTAATAAAGATATTTCATTGTATCAAATGTATCTCTCAAAGAATGATACTTTTTTCCTAAAAAGAAAGTTGAAAATATATTATTAAGTTTATAAATTGTTGAAGTGTACGCGAAAATATTTTTTTTTGGTATATACTGTTTAGTTGCTTGTCATTAGTAGGTACAGTTACTCAGTAGCGTGGCATTTGCTCTGTAAAGAAGCGAAAGTCACTGTTATTGATCTTTTGTTTGGCTGGTTGTAAAAAGGGTGTGTGTTGTTTTGTCAAAACTTTCACAGATTCTAGCTTTCCTCTTTTGCTTGTTTTGGTAACGAAGTGTTATAAAGAGTAAACCTTTAAGCGGTCATATGAATTGTTTCTATTTACATGTACCTGGTGATTGGTCTGCTCTGTTTTAAATGATCGTTCAGAACATTCAATTGATTTGTTTGTCATTATTCTACTGTTAGCTTTAGAGTTTAGTCTATATATTCTATCAAGCCTTGGATAAGATCTGAATTCAAATGAATACTGTTTCGGCGTCGTTATCTTGCCATTACTTTTATTTGCATCCCATAATGTCTTCATATACTGTCAGTAAAGAAAAAGAAAATATATCAGAGTTTTATTATTCTGTGTCAAATGTTTAAAAAAGCAAATGTACGTACTTTCATATTAAAACAGGTGCTTTTTGGTAAAGATATGTGTTTTCCACAATGATAGCTGATTATGATTACTCGCATACAAATTCAGAAACACAATACTAAGCTAACAAGGCTTTCGTGACTTCATCACACCGGGGACTTCCGTGTTCTAGACAGCGTTAGAAACGTTCATGGCATTTTAAATAAATAATCCTTTAACACAGAGCAGCAAATTATGTTTAGAACTTTAAAACCGAATTGAGAAACCGCTTGGGAATGATATGTAAGAATGTTACATTTTACGTGTGTGTATCAGTGTATGTGTCTACCTGTATACGTTTTGGGGTATGTACAGTACAACCTGTGTTTATCAGTGTATGTGTCTACCTGTATACGTTTTGGGGTATGTACAGTACAACCTGTGTTTATCAGTGTATGTGTCTACCTGTATACGTTTTGGGGTATGTACAGTACAACCTGTGTTTATCAGTGTATGTGTCTACCTGTATACGTTTTGGGGTATGTACAGTACAACCTGTGTTTATCAGTGTATGTGTCTACCTGTATACGTTTTGGGGTATGTACAGTACAACCTGTGTTTATCAGTGTATGTGTCTACCTGTATACGTTTTGGGGTATGTACAGTACAACCTGTGTTTATCAGTGTATGTGTCTACCTGTATACGTTTCGGGGTATGTACAGTACAACCTGTGTTTATCAGTGTATGTGTCTACCTGTATACGTTTTGGGGTATGTACAGTACAACCTGTGTTGATCAGTGTATGTGTCTACCTGTATACGTTTTTGGGTATGTACAGTACAACCTGTGTTTATCAGTGTATATGTCTACCTGTATACGTTTCGGGGTATGTACATGACAACCTGTGTTTATCAGTGTATGCGTCTACATGTATACGTTTTGGGGTATGTACAGTACAACCTGTGTTGATCAGTGTATGTGTCTACCTGTATATGTTTTGGGCTATGTACAGTACAACCTGTGTTTATCAGTGTATGTGTCTACATGTATACGTTTTGGGGTATGTACAGTACAACCTGTGTTGATCAGTGTATGTGTCTACCTGTATATGTTTTGGGCTATGTACAGTACAACCTGTGTTTATCAGTGTATGTGTCTACATGTATACGTTTTGGGGTATGTACAGTACAACCTGTGTTTATCAGTGTGTGTGTCTACTTGTATATGTTTTGGGGTATGTACAGTACAACCTGTGTTTATCAGTGTATGCTTCTACCTATATACGTATTGGGGTATGTACAATACAACCTGTGTTTATCAGTGTATGCTTCTACCTATATACGTTTTGGGGTATGTACAGTACAACCTGTGTTTATCAGTATATGCGTCTATCTGTATACGTTTTGGGGTATGTACAGTACAACCTCTGTTTTACGGTTTACAAGTTGCTGGAGACTGCAGAATGTTGATACACTGTAATATTACTGACATATAAGGTGAGTAACCTTGAACCATTTGCTAACTGGTTAATGTTTCTTTTAGCTGAGCAAGATTCCAATGTTTTTAGGAGAGTCTTTGCAACCCGTAGAACGAAAAAACAACACATTCTTCTCCGTGTTAATACTGCAGCTACAGAAAAGGTATTTTATCGGCTGTGCGTTTCGAAATTCCTGTTGTGAGAAAAACTCTCAGGTTTAACTCCACATCAAATGCTTCTAGTATTGCAATTAACAGTCTCGCTGCGCGACATTGTTTAAATGCAGTGCAGTCATTGTAACACTGCCAACACGTCAATAACACTGCTTAGTTGTTCTTAAACGAGACAATAACATGGCGGGAAATCAAAGATATATGAAGTATTGTTCCTTACAACGCAGTGTTGACGTTTGCGTGTCTGGTTTATTATTGTATAAATACCTTGTTTAGAATTTCACATTTTGTTTCTTTCAATATCCGGGTCAAGATGTCTATGGTAAGAATTTAAACTTGTAATAACCTGCTTTGTAGAATCATTATTCGATTACCTGTTTTATGTATCTTACACCCTTGATAGTATTATGTTTCGTACTGGCATCATAAATTAGTAATAAACCATGTTTCATGTATACTTTAGCCATGCCTATTTCCCCGGATTCTCTTTAATGGGAATTAGAACTTGCTATTTCCCTCAAAGCAGTACTCTTACATTGTAACAGCATTCTCGCTAAGTTATCACAGTCCCTTTGGTATTTGGTTGCCTTTACTTACCTTCCATAACCCTGATTACATGACAGAACTGTCAATGGTAGGAACGAGGTGTACGAATATTCTAGTTGTTTACCTTCCAACATTGTGACCGTTATCCGATATAGTTTTCAGTGTTTATAACCATAACACCAGATAGATGTATGCTGGTTTCCAAGCATTACGGCGATGGAACTAGCAAGGCTAATTTTAACTTTCAGGCATTTTAACCATGGAACTAGAAAGGCTTATTTTAACTTTCAATCATTATTACCATGGCACAGGAAGGGCTAATTATTACGTGCAAGCATTACAACTATGGACCTAGAGAGGCCTTGCACTATAATGAGGAAGGAAAGATTAAGGATGTGTAAAATTCACGATGCATTTAAAAAAAATGATGCAATATTGTGTGTTTTAACACCGGTGTATATACCACTGTAATTAAACTGATCCAAACTATACATATATGACTGCGTTCACATTTTAAATGCATTTTAACAGCATACGTTAGCTGAAACTCGTTTCTTCAAAGCTCATTAAAGCTTTTTACTAGTTCCAGCGAAATTGTTTCTGACAAAGAAAGAACAGTTAGTTAAATTGACGAGGGTGTTTGAATTGTATCATGTTCTGCATTGGTAAGTACCGGTGCGTTTATCTTAATTTGACGAGAGTAAGAGACAAAAACGTCAAGAAGACTTACACAAATTTAAATTAAATTCTGGAATATGTTTTGTTGACGTGTTCATCGTTTTTCATGTTATTACAAAGATAGTTTGCCGCAGAGTATTGTCAGTAGATGAGAAAGCTACCAAAACTACGTGTAGGAAAACAATTCCTTATATCCGGAACTAATTCTGCCAGTTCTGATTCCTGATGTCTTTTCTTCTATATCAAAGTCCTTTTGGCCGGACACGTGAATTAGTATGGATTCAATATTATCAATAATTGTAGATTGCTTTTATGTCTTAATCACACTATCCAAAATATTGACCACGTGGATATTAATAACGATTCATCCATTTTTTTCAGGATTGCTTTCCCCGCTGAATACAGTTTGCAATATGGTTTTGACATCCAAATGAACATTGTCTTTATACATTATAATTGGTCTAAGCATGAGTAGAATTGGTTTTATGGTGACTACTACTGTAAGTTAGAAAATTGACCTGATACAGATGCTACTGTTGTTATACCTCGACTTCTTTGATATTGGTATATTGTTCTATTACTCAACAAATGGATGCGTACGAATAATTTTGTGTATATTGCTCCCTCATATTCGTACTAATACAGGCTTTAAGGTGTATTTCTTTCAAATAAAAGAAGCCGCCTGTACTAATCTAAACTGGTGCTACGAAAATGAAATTCAAAACAGAATTAGAATACACTGCAATAAGTATGTGTATACATATAACATGTGTGAGAATGGGGTTGGGCATTATTTCAAAAACGTGTCCTGTTGATATTGAATAGGAAATCAGTTCGACTCTTACGTGTTATTTGCACACTGACACATGATTAGTACGATAATCTTCTTTTTATCACAAATGAAGGCACATCCGTAAAATCTGTGCATGACACGTTTGCAACAACCGAAGTCTTTTTTTACGACATTGTACGAGATTATGCGAGTCGAGTCGAGTTCTGGCAACATTTGTATGAGTTTTGGACGAGTTGTGACGAGTGTCAATAAATGTACGACTAATGGCGATCGTTGGTGACTTTGGTAAAAATACTTGAAGTATTGTACATTGGACCAGTCTTCAGTTGGCGCAATTAGATGCAACAGGACCCATCCGTCTGCTCGGATGCTCAGGGACCTTGTATGTCTTGCAGAAATGGAAGAGATGCTGCTGGAAATGTCTTGTGATCGCCAGAGTGCGATACAATTTAAGAAACCAAACCAAAAGATCATTCCCTCCACTAGACTATGACAGATCATTTAGAGGAGGTGTTGGTGGGAGGAGGTGTTAGTGGAAGGAGGTATTGGTTGGTGGGAGGAGGTGTTGGTTGGAGGAGGTGTTGGTGGGTGGAGGTGTTGGTGGGAGGAGGTGTTGGTGGGAGGAGGTGTTGGTGGGAGGAGGTGTTGGTGGGTGGAGGTGTTGGTGGGAGGAGGTGTTGGTGGGTGGAGGTGTTGGTGGGAGGAGGTGTTGGTGGGAGCAGGTGTTGGTGGGAGGAGGTGTTGGTGGGTGGAGGTGTTGGTGGGAGGAGGTGACTGGCGCCACCAGCCTCTTGTTCAACATCCATCTTATGTTTTGATTGAACCTTCCACTTTGGGCGCATTATTGGCCGAGTAATGTGGAATCATCAGAGTCTACAGGAGAGAACTGATGCTGATACAAAATATGAACAGCCGCCATAGAACTACCACAACCCTCCATAACTCGTAGCGATGCTGTGGAAATGTTGAACAGAGCACGTACAAAATCGTACAGATGTTAAAATAAGTCGTCCAAATCCGTTTCATGTCGGGAGCTTGTTGAGTAGAGATCGTATCCATGTCTTCTAAAACTCCCAGCTAAATTCGCACAGCGACACAGCAAGTGTCGGTATTGTAGACATGTCCACCGCACGCGTACCAGATTGGACAACAACCCAGCATCATATCTTCGACATGTGTACAGGACAAAACCTCCAGGACAATTATAAACCGTTTAAACATGCACAGATATGTTCAAGTCCCACACCACACCTGAATATATATGGGGCCCTACACCCATATGTACTACATGAGGACACGTCACAGTGTAGAATAAATCGGTTTCCAGCGGTACAACCGTTGTCCACTATATACCGTTGGTTTAACCATAACAGGAAGACTTTGTGAATTCATCTTCTATATATTCAACCATCGCTCCGAGGTCAAGTCAATATGCGGTCGTACAGACATCTCAGTTGTTGGCCTCCCTCTTTTTTATCGGATGTTGTACTCTGATAGTGCCCTTTTATCAGGCTTGACTTCACATGTTATTCTCTTTCTTTCGAAAATCATACAATTGTCACCATATAACCAAAACCCCAATGTGTTAACTCAATCGTAGCAGTCGAACAGTAGTAGCCAGTGTGAGTTTGACATACAATAACTAAAACCTATTATCTTAATATTACTGAACTCTGAATATTTGCTTGTTTTATGCTTTATAAGATAATCTTATTTAGAGTCGCGTATCTATCACCATAGAACATTAGCTCTTGAGAGCTATTTTTGCGACAAACACAAGGATTTAGTGGGGTAGGTGAAATAAATTCGCAACCAATGCTGTCTTTGTTTAAATTTTGACTTTTGTCTGTGTGCTTTTTTTCTAAGGTTTGAAAACCGGTTTACGTTAAACGATATGCACGTTTCTCAACGCAATACAATTCTGCTTTTTCGTATTAATGAAACATTGTTTTACAAAAGAAGAACCACCTGTTTACTTGAATTTTGCAAATTCCAGCATACAAGCACACCATTAAATGAGCTATTAACTTAAGCGGGGAACTAAGGAACAGTTATATGGCAAACCTTAATTACTAAGAACGTCTTTTCTTGACGAGTATATGTCTCCCATTTTAATCGTTAAATTGGAACTTTTTATACATAGTCTTGTTAAGTCAGCTGTATTTTTATTTTCACAATAAGGACAAGTTATCCAACAACGATTTTAGCTATATTGAAAATATTGCAAGGATAAAAATAGAACACACATATCAGAAGAACAATGCTGGAAAACAATGCTTGTGTATTTGAAAGATCCAATGTATGTTGAGCACAGTTACAAAATATGAATTTCATCCCCAATGTCCAGCGTCTGTTGTTCAATCGATGACATTTCGCCAATATAGCAATGTTTTATCAATTCATAATTTAAAACCAAAACATTTCCAGATTACAACAATCTCTGGAAATGTGGGTTGTGGTGATGTTACTACCTGTTTATAGTGCGGCGACTAGCAATGGTGTCAAGTAACTGAGTCGTTCTGAGACAACTGCACAATAAAATCCATGAAATATTGATAAGTCCCGTAGACTTTAAGACGTATCCCCATGTAAGTATAAGTGTGTGTATATACATGTATACATGTTTTCTCCTGAGAATTCAGGGTGTCACTGATAATGCAGAACTAGGTGGTATATTCTGTCACGAGGCAAACATGTTTTCCAGACAAACTAACACTGCGAACACCTCGTTGAAAGACAAACACATGTGGTGATAGAGCGCTGAGATAGCCGGGGATACAACGTCCACTTAATTTTTGCTCTGTCGACCGAGAGCAGATAAAATTGCCGACCAAGCCTCACGTCAATACTGTTAGCTTAATGCAAATAGTTTTAGGGCTTTTTTTCCCTTTGTAGAAACTAAATAATAACAAATAAAAGGAAAACGAATTAAAAATGACAAAATCAGTGTGTCTATAAAAATAATCTTAAGAAATGCATTACATTTCCGAACGAATTTCATTAAACGACCTTGGTGACAGAGCTTTTTGGAGAAAATATGCTACAGACATCTAAATAACCTTGTATCTAAAGTGTGGCAGGCTCATCAGCCAAGGGGATGGTACCAGGTGGACGGATGTTTAGAATTATGGTAATAGTAGTATGTGACGCGAGTAGAGTGTTGAGAGCGGCGCGCATCATTTATCTCTAAATTACCGGCCAGGCCAGAGAAGACATGGTTAACAATCTCTGAAAGTTTTATCCTTGTGTCTTGAGGTAATTTAGCTAGTATTGTCTCCCTCTGATGCGTACATTAGAATTTCTTCTGACTTACAGCGAATTGATTTGTAAAACACAATATTATAATAGAGGGTTGTGTTCATCGATTAGCGAAACGTTGAATAGACAGCGACGCTGGGTCGAGTTTCGTTATATATATACAGCGCTCAAACATTGCCGGCTTATAAACACCACATCGCGTCTGTCTGCTTCAGGCTAGCACGTGCGGGCACGCGGGACAGTAGTAGCGACAGCTAGCTCCGGACATACTAAGCCGTATATCACCTCTGAGCGAGTAACGGAATTTCAGTCATACATCCAGTAAAGTGCCGATTGTTAAGACAGTTACGTACCTGGAATATGCCTTGATACAACCAAACCCGCCAAGACCACTTGAAAATAACTTTCAAAGGCATGTTATCTTTTTTTTTTGTATAAGAGGCTTATAATTGCCTTTGTTTTTCCATAAACAGTTTTTGCTACGTTTTGGTATTGCCATGTTTTTCATTTAAGCGGATTTGCGTCTTGGTAGATTCTGGTTCAATACGATTTTCTCCTGTTGGTCTATGCTGAAGATATTTATGATATCCAGCCGGGGAATACACGGCAATCCGTAACGTAAAGATTTACCAATGCTTCACAAGGCTAAGCGATGATAGATGTTACCTGGAGATTTCCGCTTGTGGTTTAAGCCATTAGGGAGTTCGCTAGAAATGGATGGATAGCAGGTGAGAAATAATTCATCAAGAGACAAATATGTCTTCCTGCCACAAGAGCCCTTGATATTTGAAAACTGCTTCTTCATTTTTAAGGAACTATTTCTTTCTTCATTGCAGTAACTATACTGGAACTTAACAGAATAAGTATATTCGGATGTTAGAATCCTACTTGAACACATCGGGCTGTTAATTCCACTTCAAGTACATGGTAAGTAGAACTGTTTAAAATATTGACGCACGCTAACACTGTTATAACTTTAAAACAACCTCATTGGATGATGATTGAAACTTAAAAGCTGGATATGTCGTTACAACTCTAAGTCCTTATGTTAGTAGAAATGTATATCCAGTAGCTCATGGGAAACATAGCGGGTTGACATTGTCAGTATTCTATGTGTATTAAAATTCTAAAGCAATCGTTTTACGCTGTTACGTTTAGAATTGGACTCGTTTTCTATTATGATTCGAAATCAACGTAGATGCATGAATTATCATGCACATTGCAAACGATATTCGAAACATTTGACAGCAATAACAATAATCTAGCGTTATGATGATCAGGTTGAACTTAAATTGAATGCATATAGAAGCAATATGTCATTATCTATTATGTCGATGGTTTTTTTTTTTATTGAGGTGTGCACTCTTAATTATATCAGAGAGTCCCCATCGACAGGTAGGGGCCTTGCCATTACGTATCGTGCTTTCTTTGTAACATGCCATGGTTCCTTTGAAAAGTTGTAACAGGATGAAAGAGATGTTCTTTTCTAACAACCTTGCCCCATTGGTTCAAAAACCTTGAAACGAGATCGCCACTAATCCATTCCCCGACACTCCTTTGATTCATTTGTCCGCGATCTAATAACCGCGTTACCTTCATTATTCCGCCAGTATTTTTGTTGACAAATTGTCCTTTTTTTCTATTTAAAAGCGTCCCAGCAGGCGAGCAATTACACAGTTCAGACACCTGCCTGGTTAGCTTAACGAGACTTATCTGTAGATATATCCAATGAATGCGAACAGTAACAAGGAAAAACGAACATTACATTGTACTACCCTTTGAATGATTGTAGCAGCAAAATTAGAATGTTAAATGTATTCGTGTTGTTTCTCATACATTTGTAAATTGTTTCAATGTTGAAACAGTGTATCACTTGATAATGTTTAACATATGTACTCGGATGTATTACGTAATACCATTTAATAGTAAAAAATAAATATTGATTTATTATCACAGTATTGTATTGTAAAGATGTTAAAATATTGATAAATGACATACATTGTACTAATGGATTTATTTACAAATGACACTATGTTTCGTGTGGTATACCAAACACCGCATATTGATAAAAGGTACATAATTAAGTTATTGACAAATGCTATGTATGCCTTAGAGAGTCTATCATAATTAAGTATGTTGGATATGGATAGTCTATCCTCGGGTGCAGATGTTGGTGTCAAAACATTGGCAAAGCCTCGTTTCTGACCCTTTTTCCCCACCTTAACCTTCTTAACCGAACTTCTTGTAAAACACGACATCGATAATACAAATGCAACGCCGAATATAGCAATTCAGATAACATATACATGTACACAAACTAAGACTATATTTGGAAAAAGTAGAAAAATGTGTAGTATACCTTAGGTATACTTTAGTTTAAATATTATTGCAAGCCCTTCATGGCAAGTTTGTACAGCAATTCTTATGTTTGTGAGCTGCGGTCATTTGTTGACGGCCAGATTGCAACAGTCAGTAAACAACACTTTGGTGCGTTTTTATTTGCAAAGTGATATTAAAACGCCGTCATCAAATTGTGACGTCATAATAGTACATATGTACAAGTCATTGAGTTCCACATAGGTCACGTGTATCGTGCATAGGTAGAGATGGGAGAAAACATAACAATTGATACATAATGACAAAATACATGTTATCAAATCGCGAATGTATTCATACCATTTGTAACAAATGTATTTAAACACGTTTGTGACTTACATCCATCATTTATAGCAAATCTTGGTTATTGATGTTTCAAAATAACTAAATGTGTAATACTATACAAATACTGACAAATTAAATATGAAATAAATAAATAAAAAACATATTTATATTGATAAATGACACGGGATTGAAAGTGTAAGATATTAACAAGAGACACATCGATAACATCTTTATGAATGAAAAGATCCTCAATTTCTCAATACACAAATTATTGCATATGAAAATATTTTTATAAGAAATTGTGTTTTTGTTCCTTTTTGGATTTCTACGGGCTTTACCGACATCGTGATAACGGACACAGCCGTGAAAAAGTGAGAAAAGAAAATATATAAATCACAAGTGTTGCAAAAGGGCAGCAACTCAAACTTGATTTTCTTTAATCCCTTCTCGGTACAAGGCACAGCAGAAACCTCCGACTCTCCAGGAGGCCCCCATTAGTCAGATCGTGCGACAGGCAGTGGGATAGAGCTGTCATATTCACTCCCTGAACTAGTAGGAGTTGCATATTTCTTACAGCAATAACATTTAGATAAATCGTACATATGTACAAGTCATTGTGATTGTACATATCGTGGGACTTTGCATCATTCATGTGTGCATGTGTATGTTATCTAAAAAGTTTGCTATATTAGATAAATAACAAATGAAGGAATTTCACAATGTAACATCTTCTCCTACTAACGAAGCCCAGACACCACACGTCATCAGCTTGTATTAAGAATAGTTTGACTATCCATTGAATTTGGTATGCAGATACATGTCCACTGTAAATTCATCAAGAAGTTGGCAAAAATGATTTCGTTCCATATTTTTGTAATACCACTTCTATATTATAAATGGAATGTCTCTACTGAAAGGCACGGTATATTGCATGTAAAAGTTATTGAGACATAATAATATAATGACGATGTGCATTAGTCTGGTGTTACACGTGGTATAAGGTTAGAAACATACCATCAGGTAGTGCCTAACACAGGAAACCATCAAGTAGGGTACGCATTCGAACGTAGTTTGAGATCATCGCAACAAGGCCCAATTGTTAAGTGGTGAAACCTAAACACGTTCTCAGGGATAACACCGACTGTTGTATCGTGGGACTTTGCATCATTCATGTTATCAAATTGATTACTTTGATTGATTGTGCCAGCGATCAGAACGCCATTGAAGACCACACATTAACTAGGGGAGCTTGTGTTGTGTTAGCCCATAGTTTTCACCAGATATGTTGACTGAATAATATAAAAGGAACACTTTAAAGGTTGTATAGTTCATGCTTGAAGTTTCATGAACTGAATGTTCGAGATGCATTCGCCGTTGATGATGAAGATTGGGGATTAAGCTGTCAATTACATCATTTTGTTGACCTCTTACACTTTTCACACATGTAGTTAAAATATTGTGGTAGATGTTATTTGAATTAAGCTGTAGTTGTGCGTTTGTTTGGAGCAGATAGTGTATAGGACATGGTGGGCACCTTTATCATCTTTCGACCTTACATAACTTGGGGTAGCAACAGCAGCATCGTAAAAAAAACTACCTTCAATGTGTGAAATGTTTCACGGTGTTAGCGGAGAACGGAGTGCCAAACAGCAGTCAATGTTTTTAACATTTTACTCGTTCATTTGTGTACATTTGGAAAAGTAATTCTTCACTAACAAAACCTTTATATCAATGAATTTATTTGATACATTTTCTCAATTTATTGCATTGTGTTGTAAAGGAAACGACAAATGAGGGATTCTTTGCAGTCTTTGTGATTTTTTTTATTTAAACCAATCGGCCTTGTTTCTGACACCATAGTCACTGTAGCATCTGGACGAATTATACTATAAGCAAAACAAAATAAATCTCAAATTTGCTATTAAAGACATTGATGTGTAGCCTACTATACTTTCAGTAAAATGTCCCTACGGGTAAATATTACGCAAGAAACAAGGGTCAATACACATTATAATCCTTATTCTGGTAATAACATCTGAACGACTGAATGTTTTTCAATGATACATTTTCGTGATGCCTCACTGAAATACGAGCTAGTGGGATCTATCGGCTCTTTTGATGACATGTCTAATGGGAATTTCTTCTGTCTTTCGTCAGCGAAAATTGCAACATCATCATTGTTTAAATACACAATTTGTAACGAAGGCAGTTATTTGAGAACAGAAAGAGTAGTGTCTAGAAAATGGCACAGCAGAAAGTAAACCTTCCTGAGTGGAGGGGTACAGTGATGTTAAGCCAATTCTGGTTAATAGAAAGGTACTGTAGTTCCAAGATGATACTGGCGTGTGGAGGGATACAGTGTTAATTACTGGTATGTGGTGAAATTTGTATTGTGATGTAAAGAAAAAAAAAACAGTGTGTAGAGAGGTACAGTGGTGCCGAACAACACCGGTATGGCGAGGGTTACATAGTTGTAAACACTTCATTGTTGTGTAACGAGTTTAGAGTGATATTTACACAACACGGGTATGGTGAGGGGAACACAGTTGTAAAGACCGAGTGATATCTACACAACACGGGTATGGTAAGGGATATACAGTTGTAAAGACTTCATTGTTGTGTAACGAGGATATAGTGATATCTACACAACACGGGTATGGGAAGGGGTACACAGTTGTAAAGACATCATTGTTGTGTAACGAGGATATAGTGATATCTACACAACACGGGTATGGTGAGGGGTACACAGTTGTAAATACTTCATTGTTGTGTAACGAGGATAGAGTGATATCTAAAATCAACACGGGTATGGTGAGGGGTACACAGTTGTAAAGACTTCATTGTTGTGTAACGAGGTTAGAGTGATATCTACACAACACGGGTATGGTGAGGGGGACACAGTTGTAAATACTTCATTGTTGTGTAACGAGGATAGAGTGATATCTAAACAACACGGGTATGGTGAAGGGGACACAGTTGTAAAGACATCATTGATGTGTAACGAGTAAAGAGTGATATCTTCACAACACGGGTATGGTAAGTGGTATACAGTTGTAAAGACTTCATTGTTGTGTAACGAGGATATAGTGATATCTACACAACACGGGTATGGTTAGGGGTATACAGTTGTAAAGACTTCATTGTTGTGTAACGAGAATATAGTGATATCTACACAACACGGGTATGGTAAGGGGAACACAGTTGTAAAGACTTCATTGTTGTGTAACGAGGATATAGTTATATATATACACAACACGGGTATGGGA